GAAGGAGGCAAGGCAGCGGGCGAAGTGGAGGGCCTGTGGGATGGCGTTCCAGAGGGTGGAGCAGGCATGGAGGGGGATGTGATGTAGGCCGGAGCCCGCTGAGCATAGGAAGTGGACAGGTTGGTAGGTGGTTAGCAGGTTACAGAGATAGGGAGGAGCAAGACCATGGAAGGCTTTGAAGGTGAGTACCAGGATCTTGAACTGCTGCTTAAACCAATTGTGAACACGCTTTGAGCTGTAAAGTGTTTTTAATGCAACAGACTGTGTATTATTAGTGTGTTGTTTTAAAAGTATTTTTTAAGTCCTGAGTAATGGGGAGTCAGTAGTGTTGGGCGAGGATGGGAGTGATAGGATCGCGGAGCCTGGTGCAAGAGAGGACACGGGCGGCGGAGTTCTGCATGATCTGTAGCCTGTGGAAAGAGGAATTGGGGGAGGCTGGCAAGCATGGAGTTTGCGTAGTCAAGCCTGGATGTGATGAATTTACCTTTGCAGTGAGATGTTTAAATCCCAAACCCTTGTTTTTAAATACCTTGCACATTACCCCTAAGGCATTTTGTAGGTAGTCATTCCAACTGGGTCAAGCTTTACTCACTTAATGCAGCATTGTGTCATAGACCCGGCTGACCAAAGAAAAGCTGACAGGGCATATAGAAATTCCTAAATTCTTAAAAAGTAGACAGGAGATTGCCACACCGTGCTTTCAATGGCAAACTATGTAGTTTTAGCTGTTTAAACTCAAGAAGTTACCTGTTGGGGTCACCAAGCTTTGGCTCTTGCCAACCTGCTCCTAAAACTCTCCGGAATTAGGTAAGCAGGATGCATCTCTTCAGGGAGGGAGTGCGCATTTCTTTCCAATGGCAGGGAAATTTCCATGTGAAGATGGCATATTTCTGAAACTCTCAATCTGGTTCAGACAGTCATATGCACATTGCTGGGTTTCTGTATGTTGTCAGACACCTGGCTGACCAAAGAAAAAGAAATTTCTCCACCATTGGCGGGCGGGCCTTCAGCCTCTCTGCCCCCACCCTCTGGAACTCCATCCCACAGTTCCTCCGCCTCGCACCCTCCCTTGCCTCCTTCAAGACCTATCTCAAGACCCTGGTCTTTGACCATGCCTTCAGTCACCCTCATACCCCTACATAACCCTCCACCCGTCCTGATCCCAACCACCAGCTCAGGTGCGGATCCCTGACTGTTCAGCCTCTTGGGACATCCTCCTGACATGAAAGGTGCTATACACATGTAATTTGTCATCGTTATTGAAGATACACTTCCAGAATACAAACTGACTATCCGTGGATCAAGAGTGAATCAATTTTGCTTTTAACTCCCGACATTAGCATATTGTGCTGTCTAGCCACAGAATGTATTTGAGATCCACTGTGGCACAGGACCTCCCCTCTGCAGCCATGAGTTCAACAGCAGTCTAACACCAGAGAACTGGAGGAGTGAGCTTGGCATAGGAAGCATTGTGTCTATCTTGCATTTCAACACAAAATAGGGAGATATCATTGGAGTGTTAAAGAGAATATGTGGCCTGATTCCAATAATGACAGATGGTTAACACTGAGGAGAAAGGTTTTCATATACTGGGCCGCAGCAATGGGCCCTGATGATCTGAATGTCGTCAGGATGTGACACACTTCAAAAGGGGTGGCATTAAGCTCTTGGTATTAATGTGAATAGGACAATAAAGATTTTATAACCCCCTTTTCCCCCAGCTTGGTTTTCTACTTTTATGACGGAATGGCAGGATGTTAATGTTTATGCCAAGCTGCCTGTAAGTCATTTAACAAGACATAACTCAGGTAAACTGAATTCTTAAAAGCAATTAAATAGTGCGTCAGAAAAGCACTAATAAGTGGTATGCCAACTGTTAACTGGTGCCAATATGTGCTAAGGCCCGAAATTTCTCAGTCTTAGCCTTCAAGCCCACTGCCTTAATGTTTAGGTAATTTGCAGAAATTTCAATGATTCTTGAATTGCGTTTTAACTTGGAAGCCAGTTGACTGCAATTTTTTTACCTCCTATTTCCTTGTGAAATGATTTCCATAGTTAATAACACAGCAACAGGAAGAGGCCTTTCAATCCACCTGTTCCATTCATTAGATCACGGGCATGGCAGAAAGTTTAATCCCATGTCCCTGCCTTTATTCCATACCATTTAACATTCCTTATTTCTAAGTCTCCTTCTTCCTTTATACAACCCAATTGAATCTGCCTCTATGGCCTTCACAGATAGTGCTTTACATATTTTTCATAAACTTCTGTGTGAAGAAATGTTTTCTGATCTCACTTGTATCCATCCTGACTAAAGCTTAATATATCCCCACATTTTAGTATAGCACCTTTCATGTCAGGAGGACATCTCAAAACGTTTCACAGGATGTACTGTAAAGTGCAGTGACTGTATTTTGTAGGTGAACATGACAGCTAATTTGCACACAACGATGTCCCACGAACAGCCATGAAGTAAATAACCAATTTCTTCTGGTAAATTGTTGGCAGGGACACAAGAAAATTTCTTCTCAAGTGCCTTGGGATGTCCTCACGATGTGAAAGGCACTATATACATGTAACTTTGCATTGTATTGTATTTTTGTATAGTGCCACAGGATCTTTAACATGCAGCTAAACAGGCAGAAGATATTCGGTTTAATGTCTCATTCAAAGGAGGGCACATCTGACAATGCAACACACTCCGCTCACAAAATACACAGTCACTCCTCTTTACAGTATATTCTGTGAAACTCTTTGAGATGTCTCAATGTCATGATAAGGCGCTATATCAAATGCAAGGCTTATTATTATTATTACCTCTAGCACGGCATTGGAGTATCAGCCTAGACTGTGAGCTCAAAGTCCTAACATGGAGCTTGAACCAACAACGTTCTGACTCAGGGAGTGCTATCAAATGAGCCAAAACAGCATCATTTCTATCCTCTGCCCTACCTTATAAGTCTCACGCACACGGAATGGTTAGAAGTTCATGTGTTTCACTGCACAACTCACAGCACAGGCGGCATTTTTCTTTGACAGATCAGAGTTCGGATTAGTCTATTAACTCACTGTGAATGTGAGCCGCTGTAGCCCCAAATGTTTATCCATCACCTTTACTCTGTATCAGTGTTAGGATTTTCCTTTGTGGATGATCCAACATAAAGCAAGTGTCTGACTGCACTCTCTGATGTGCTTTGCCTCTTTTTAATGAAGTCCAGCCACTGGTTATTCAACCCATTAAAAACCGGCAACAAAGAGGTTCCCATCATTTCAAATGGCTTTTAGTGGATATACTGGTGGATTTCATTCAGGTAATAAAACGGAGCTCAGCAACTTTACTGCTCAATGCTCTGATTGTTTCCCAGATTGGCTCAGAGGAAAGGAGTTAATAATTAAAGACAAACAGGCGTACTCTTCATTCAGGGGTCAAGGCGATGCACAGGTTCAAGTGGAGATGGGCTTACGGATCGCTTTGATCTGATCACTGCCACAGTCCAATGGTTTCACCCTGTGGAGCGGTAAACATTTGTTATGTGGAATGAATTGCTCTCAGCTTGACAAAGCCCCTCCACACTCCTCCCCCCGTCCCCTTCCCCACCGGTCGTGAACTGCGTGCGGTTCATCGAGTCTGAAAAAGAAAAGCTACTCCTGGGGAAAATTGACCACACTTTTTATATTGTAACCACTGTAAACTTTATTTTTTATGGGAACACTGAATTAGAGGTTAGTAGGAATGTAGCAACAGAAAGGATCTTGGCTCCAGGTCAACCCAGCTCAGCTGGTAGCACTATCGCCTCTGAGCCAGAATGTGGTGGATTCAAGCCCTATAGTCCAAGCTGACATTCCAATACAATGCTGGAGGTAGGATTGCATTGTCGGAGATGCTGTCCTTCAGATAAAATGTTAAAATGTGGCCCTGTTTGCCTATTTGAATGGACGTTAAAAGATCCCATGGCATTATTGGAAAAGAGAAGGGAGTTTCTTCCAGTGTCCTGGCCAACAATTCCCCAAATAAAAACAAGTCATTCACTTAATGGATGTTTGTGGGACATTGCTGTGCACAAAATGTCTGACATGTTTGCCCATACAGTCTCTATACTCTAAAGTACATCCTGTGAAGCTCTTTGAGTTGTCCTCCCAAAATGAACAGCACTAAATCAAATGCATCAATTAATATTATTACTCAGCTCATTGAGCCTGTTCTGCCAGTTTACTGAATTACGGCAGATGTTTCAATTTCATTTCTCCGGGTACACACAACATCCTTTGCTGTTTCAGGGCAAAACACAATAGTATTTACTTAACACATCAGGGGAGGGAGGGGAGAGGGAAATTCAGAATTAAGAGATTTGAAATGCTTCATACTCTTAGGTTCATTGTCTTAAAATTGAAGACTGTTCAGAATTTTGGAAGATACTTACATTCAGTCTGAATACAGGAGAACTTCACGCGTGCAGGTGTGAAGTATCAGTTACCAAAGAAAATGGCGCTGCCTCAAGTCCAGCCCAACAGTGCTCACATATAGAATAAACAGGATATCGTAATCGATGAGAATGTATTTCAATTGTTCTTTCATTCCTGACACTTAGACCTTTGTAGCTTGAGTTACAGCCTCTTTAATGGTTATGATTGAACGAGGGAAACACTCTGCTACAGACCTGTCAAAATGTACACATTAGGTAAGAGGCTGGTCCATTTACTGTCTGGGAGGGAGGAGGAGGGAAGGTAGGGGGTGAGGAGGTGGGAGGAAGCAGAGTGGTGCGAAAAAGAAAGTAAGGGGGAAAAGGAAAGTGAGGGGGAAAGGAGGGTGGGAGAGGAGGGAGTGGGCTCTGAACTTGAGAACACATAAACCTTACTCTCAAAACCAACAGTTATAAATATTGAATATTTAAATAAAATTGACATTTACACGAAACCAGTGGGGAGCCATTTATAACAGAGCCTATTTTCTTTTTATAAGATTTTTTGGGTGGGGGGGCGTTCTACCTTATTACCTTCCGATAGCTCTGTTTCTACTTTGTATTTCATTTCCTTTGTTAAGTCTTCCCTTGTTTGCTCTCCTCCCCCTCCGCTGTTCCATGTTCCAGTGTCCGGCTGTTGGCTTTTGAGGCCAGCCCTGAACCAGCAGCTGCTTTCCATTATTGTTTGCGAGAAAAGAACAAAGTTCAGGTCAGAAAATGGTTCCTCTTCTAGGAACATAGGAATTGCTAGATATAAAAGCCCAAGGTCCTTCTCGTTTGCCTTCTACCATCCTGGTAGTCACATGCTACAATAATAATAATAAAAATAATATTAATAATAATAATCCTTGCTTTTGATATATATTGCCTTAAGACTTCATCTCAAAGTGCTTCACAGAATATATCGTTAAGTGGATTGACTGTGCATCTTGTGGGCGAATAATGAATAATAATGGGAGAGAACAATTAATTCTTTATGGATTAGTCTACAACAGAGTGGAAAGTTTGGGGAACCTTAGATCCAAAATTGCCTGGTTCTTCCGAGCATAACTACACTGACTGTATGTCATGTGTCCCAGAATATTATTTTCTAAAATAAATCTATCAAATTTGAGTTTGAATGAATCAACACTTTCTGCTTCCACTGTCTCTATAATGTGCAGTCAAAGAGATAGCATTTTAAAGCAGGATTTGATGGCAGATATAAAATGGGGGGGGCCTAGACTGAGGGGTTGAGAGAGGGAGTTCCATAGGTTAAAGGTGTAGAATTGGAGAGCTCAGCAACCAGGTGGATGGTGTAAGTAGGGCAGAGGGACTTGTAGCAAACCCAAGTTAGCTGAGCAGAGGAGTGGGGTAGGAGGAGATCAGAGAGATGGAGAGCAGTCAAGCTGAGCCAACTCTTTCCATCAACCACATTTCGGCATAATCTGCTCTATTCAACAGGATTTACAACTACACAGTGCGTTACAGCACAGACATTAATCTGTGCAGTTTTTATACTCTACGCGAGCCTCTACTCCATCCGAACACCTTCTCCCATACCGCTCGATTCTCTTCTTCCTTGTGTAGGATTCACATTTTCTCTTAAATGAGTTCCACATTCTCACCACCCTCTTCTTAAATAAGTTCCTCCTAAACCCTCTTTAAGATCTGCCCATTAACCTATGGAACTCCCTTCTTCAATTCCTCAACCTCGTCCTCTCTTTATCTATCTTTGAAATCCCACCTTAAGACTTACCTCTTCAACCAAACATGCCTATGGTCACCCCTTCCCTCTTATTCCCTTGCTTAATGTCCAACCCTGGCATTATACAGCAATCCAAGACCCTAATCTGCATGAAGGGAGCTATATAATCCAAGTTGTTGTGGCTGCAACTGGCTAATATATTTAAACTCCCTCATTTTGGACTCACCAACAAATGGATACATCCTATCGACGGCCACCTTATTATTCAGATTTTAGATGTGCTTTAACCATGGTAATCATGGTCATAGTAACTATAGTAGTAACTATACTCCACACCAAAAAAAGAACTTGCATTTTTACAGCATCTTATCACATCGAATTATCTCAAATTGCTTCACATCTAACTGCGGCAAGGTTTAGGTGCTGTTGTAGATAACCACTGCAGTCATTTTATTCTAACTCGGTCACACTAACAGCAGTAAAGTAGATAAAGTAGTTAGTTAATCTGGAGGCTTGTTGGCCAGGATAGTGTGAGAAACTCCTTTTGCTTTTCGAGGAGTATTCTATGATTGTTTGTGGGACACTGCTGTGCGCAATTGGCTGCCGCGTTTTGCCCACAAAATGTACAGTGAATTCACTTTCCGGTATATTCTGTGAAACCCTTTGAGACATGTCAATGACGTGATGAGGCACTATATCAAATGCAAGCATTATTAGTATTATGGGATCATTGACGTTCACCTGGAAAAGGAATAGATGGGACATCAGGTTTCACATCTCATTTGATAATGTAGAGTTTCCACCCTGCCCCCAATACTACATTGAAGTGTCAGCCTGGATTATGAGCTCACTTCCCATCATGGGGCTTAAACCCACACTTTCTGACTCAGAAGTGAGCGTGATACTCAAGCCCATTTAAATTGCCGTAATTTGGGGGCTGATTTTCTGTGTGGGGGGAGAGGGGAACTGTGGAAAATCAGTTTCCTGTTTAAGATAACAACAACAAAATGTAAAGCGCCTTTCACATCGGGAGGACGTCCCAAGGCGCTGGACAGACAGAGTTACGGACCCGAACTGAAGGTCAGTGTGGGGGAGGGTGGAGAGCGGGGGGGGGAAGTTGGGAGATCGAAAGAGGAAGGTCTTGAGGTGGGTCTTGAAGGTGGCAAGGGAGGGGGTGCGACGGAGGGACTGCGGGATGGAGTTCCAGAGGGTGGGTGCAGAGTGGCACAAGGCCCACCTGCTGATAGTGGGGCGAGCGAGGCGGGGGACGTGAAGCAGGCCGGAGCCCACTGAGTGAAGGGAGCAAACAGGGTGGTAGGGCAGAGAGGTAGAGGGGAGCAAAACCGTGGAGGGCTTTGAAGGTAAGGACCAGGATCTTGAACTGTATCCTCTGTGTGATGGGAAGCCAGTGGAGTTGGACAAGGATGGGGGTGATAGGGTCACGGAGCCTAGTGCAGGAGAGGACTTGGGCCGCAGAGTTCTGGATGATCTACAGCTAAAGACTGAACTAAAGACTGGTTCAAAATTCTGAGTGGTCAGAAATTTTAAGGCATTGGTCTTAAGCCTAAGAACATAAGAAATGTTGGGGCCCTAGAAGAGAGAAAGTGAGCAAACTGTTTGGTTTTAACTACAGTACTTTGCTAGCTAAGCGGTGATGATATGGAATGAGCTACCTGGGGGAAGCGGTGGAAGCAGATTGTGCCAGAAAATTCAAGAGAGAACTGGATAACTATTTGACGAAGGAACTGATTGAGGGATACCAGACAGAGCATGATTTATTTCTTCATTTTTTCTTACTTTTGCCAGTGGGACCTCAAGGTCCTTTTTCTGATCCTGTACACATTCCTGTGTTCCTACCTTTGTGTTTGCTGTCTCTGGATCCAGTCACTTCTCAAAGCCCGGTCCGGGAACACAACACTGCAAAGAGTCAAGGAATGATGACCATGCCAGCTTGCGTCCCTGTGATTTATAGGCTGACAAGTTTGACGAATAGCCCTGTTCTTTCAAGAATGGGACATGCATTGTTCATTACAGAAATGCCTTCCCCCAATTGCTACTTAAAATTACCCAGGGTTGTGCCACACACACACACACACACACACCATCCAACTGGTCCTCACACCCATAGGCTGCATTTATTCAGAGCTGTAACTCAGCCTCAGGGTTAGGACTGACTTGAGAGAGAGCAGGACACATGGTCAAAGCACCCAGTACCTCCCAGTGAACAAACATTAATGAAACTGACAAGCCAGCAAGGTGGTTGATAAAAGAGGAAATGGCCTGGCGTTCTCAAGCCTTTTCCCCTAAAAACACAATGAGACAAAGACCATTTGTCAACTTTTGAACTTTCTGTGAGTGATCGGCATACAAATTCTCTCCCCTCCCACCACCACCGCTCGAAAAGCAGAGTTCGCTCATTTAATTTCAAAGTGCTTTTGTTGCCTGAGCTTTCACGCCAGCATCTTAAAGAAAGAAGTTTCTCTCTCCCAGTGTCCTGGCCAACAACACCCCAAATAAAATTGGTCATTCATTCCATGGCTATTTATAGGACACTGCTGTGTGCAACTTGCTCTCACATTTCTCCCATAAAATACAGTTAAAACCAATTTACAGTATATTCTGTGAAGCTCTTTGAGACATCTCACCAAAATGATAAGGCACTGTATCAAATGCAAGGATTATAATTCATTTTATTAAAGACAACAGCACAAGAAATAGCCCGAGGCACTTAACTTCTCTTTCTTAACCTTAACGCACTTGTCTTAAAATTTCAAGCTCCTGAGGTAATGTGAAAATTTCCCAACTTCAGTATCAAATTGCAAGGGTCAGCTTAGCTCAGTTGGTAGCATTCTTGCCTCTGAGCCAGAAGGTTGTGGGTTCAAGATCCACTTTGGGTCTAGACTAATATAAGGTCAATGTCCCAATGTGGGTCTTGAAATCCATTTTTTCTGCATGTTCTTAAATGGAAACCACTGAGGACCGATGAGTCCTTCATCTGGACTGTGTCTTCAGCTAGTGACAGCACAGATCAGACCCAGAGCTCATCAGTGTAAAATAGAATAAAGAATCCTTGCATTTGATACAGAACCTTCATGTCGGGAGAGTGTTTCAAAGCACTTCATAGGATATTCGGTTAAAGTGGAGTCTGTTTTTTTATGTAGGCGAACATGGCAGCTAACACAGCAACATCCCATCAACAGCGATGGAGTGAATGACCAATTTTATGAGAGGACTGACGGCCAGGACGCCAAATGAAACTCTTTTCTAATAGTGCCACGGGATTTTAACCACCTGATTAGGCACAGACTGGACCTCGGTTTAACATCTCACAGCACCTCAGACAATGCACATTATTGCCTGTGTATCAGACCCCAGAGCATTTGATTGCCAATTTATGAAACGCATATTCTTAGAGAGTATTTAGGAGGGGCAAAATCTTTCCGGAAATTGAGGAAGCCATGGTGTGAGTCATATATACATACAGGCACACTCAGTAAGGCTCTTTATGAATCCTGGTCTTGTGTCCTGGCAAAACTGTCCTCCAGATAAAATTGGTCATTCACTTCCTGGCTGCTTGTGAGACATTTGCTGTGCACAAATTGGTTGCTAGGGTGGTTCACTCACAAATCTACAGCTACTAGCTGCACGCTTTGTAATGAAATAAGCACTATGTCAAACACAAGTATTATTATCATTATGTTTGTTATTATTTGGGATTGAACTGAAATAGTCACAAAACCATCCCTCCCCTCCGACCATACTGAAAGCTTTGAAAGCTGGGCGCCAAATCCATTGAGCTAATCTAACAGCTGAGCTCAGAGTTCCTGCTTGTGGCTAATACCCCTTAAACCTGGCCTTAAAATTAACAAAGGGCACATCAAAGAAAAAGGGCATATATAGTAACAGGAATAATGTTGGAAGAAGGGGAGAATCTTTCTTTAACTATAAGCAGCAATAAACTTTCTGCACCTCTCTATACATGAAAGTCACTGAATGTGTTTCCTACAACTCACTTGGGTCTGTTTAACTTTGTTAAACTTTCACAAAAAATGATATTACGAGGAGAATCTTTCTGCAAAGTTCAGTGTAGGACAAGGTGCCATCACTCAGACATAAATTAATAATGAAGGAATATGGCAAACCGTAGAACCACCAGACTCTGGGGAATTATTGAGCAACTCAAACAATGCTGGCCACGGCGAATGATTTTTGTACGGGTTTTTACAAGTCAACATGGGAGGAAGGAAAGGACAGCCTAAACCTTTACATGACAACACAATCACAGTACAATTTACCCAACGCCTTTCACTTCAGGAGGACATCTCAAAGCGCTTCACACAGCTGACTGAACACCTGTGCTGTGTGTTTGTGTGTGTGTGTGTCTGTATCTGTGTGAGTGTGTGCTGGTGGGGCGAGAACAGGGACTGAAGAGGGCAGAGGTGGGGGGATATCCCAGTCAGGGACACTGGGGTCTAATTAGTGAGATTCATCAAAATGTTCCAGGACTTATTTTTACATGAACGGCACTATATTAAGACACGCTGTTGTTTGCCTGAATAATTCCTAGATGTGGATCTTAGGGACAATTACCTACCTAGATGTTTAGGAGCTGCTGATAAAGCAACGTTTGGTTTTAAATAAAGTGGTGAGGAATAGGATGGCTCTTGGCAAAGTATTAGATCATTTTTATAAGCAACAGTTTTTATTTCACCCAGGGGATTACATGGAACAGAAAGTACTTTCTGTAGAACATCCTTGCCTTTTCCTTTAATATTTTTCAAAAAAAGTTTAATATTTAATATTACTTTCTCCCCTCCTCCTCTCTACTTCAATAAAACATCACAGCTTTTTCCTGCATCAAAGAGTCTTTGGTTAAAAACTCTCAGAACCACCCTTTGAACCACCCAAGAGATTCTAATGGACATTTTTGTAAACTTATTAAAGAATTTATAACACCATCAGTTCTGTGGCAATGCTACAAAATGGAACACGCACTCTCTCCCTGAAGGGATACACTCTACTTATCTAATCCCGGAAAGTGTTAGGCAGGTTGACAAGAGTCAAGGCTTGGAAAATCCTTTCACGACTTGGCACCTCCCTACCTCTCTGACCTCTCTCACTCCCCAATCCACAACCTGGCACCTCCGCTCGATTGGCACCAGCCTCCTGCTTGTCCTTCGCACCCTCAGTCACTAGGCCCCGAAACTGTGGAACACCTTCTCCCTCAATCCCTCTACCTTGCCCCCCGCCTCCCCTTTTTCAAGTCCCGCTTGAAAACCTTTTTAATCGTGGCTGTTGTTGTTGTTGTTGTTTGGGTTCTCCAGACTGTGGTGTGGGCTAACTGCTGGAATGTAACCAGCTAAAACCACATAACTTGCTATTGAGAGCGCTGTCTGGCAAGCTTCACGCTGCTTGTCCAGCTAGGAGCACCCTTCCCCTTAAGTCTTTGGCTTGCAGGGTTAACAACAACAAATTGCATTTATATAGCACCTTTCATGTCGAGAGGATGTCCCAAGGTGCTGGACAGTCGAGGGTTTGAACACGAACTGCGGGTTAGATTTGAGAGGCCACGGGGGAGGATGACTGAAGGCAACGGGAACCAAGCGGAAAGAATTCCTGCTCACAATGACCATCTGTCCGTCACGTCCTGCCAGCCCCTCTTATCTACAAACACACACCAGGAAAATACTCAGGCAAGGTACCAGAGCGCGACTGATGCCTGTGAAATTGGGAAAAAAGGGAAAAGGGGTGAGATTGCATTTGCCCCAACCCCCTGCCCCTCTTTTATGAGAGGAGAAGGAGGGGGGAATCTTTGAGGAGAAAAATTGGCAGATTAAGAGGAAGTGTCAAAGCTGTTTAATGGTAAGAAATATGCCAACGGCCCTTATGTATGTAAATTATCAAGCATCTCATTTTCTCACACAAAGCAAACATTGTTATTAATCATGTGAAACATCTGCTCTTCCTGAGCTTTTGTCACTGCTGGAGCCAGACGATGCAGACTGAGTCGGCCGTGACTTGCTGAGAATTCAGCAAGATGAAAACACTACCTCTGGATTCGCAAGAGAACAAAGCAAAATAAGGCTGGACAAACTGTTATTGCAGCGTGCCTGAGACTGCCAAAAAAACAGGGAGATTTTTAACAGAAACCCAACACCAAAGCTTATGTAAATGATAGCAAACGCAGAGCCAACTGATGTGCTATAAATTGGCTCCGGCTTCATGCCTCAAGGGGAATTTTCTTTCCTTTGGGGGATATTTAAAGATAGTTTGCATGCTGGTGTATATTTAACATGTGAGCTGTTTTTTTTCCCATCGCTTTGCTGTTTCGCAATTCATCAGTGCTGGTGCTGGATGAAGGCATCCTGCCAAAATGTGACTTGTAAACATGAAATGTAACTTTTCAATTAAGCGCAGAACAGAACAAGATGAACAGAACACAGACAGAGCGAGAGGGAGGGAGAAAGAATGAGCGAGGGAGAAAGAGAGGAGAGAGGGAGAGAACAAGAGAGACAGAGAGTGGAAAGAGAGACAGAGAAACAACAACAACAAATTACATTGTATAGTGCCTTTCACCTTAAGAGGATGTCCCAAGGATGTCCCAAGTCACTGATTCCAACTTCCCTCCTGGCAATTTCTATCCCTTCCCATTGAACAATTCACCTCCTATAAGAAATGTTGCATTCCTCTCCCATCATATCTTTTTCAAAAATATGAAACAACTACTTATCAATGGGGACCACAGACTGAAAGCTCATGTGGCACAATGGGAAGCTTAGAGATGATCTATTTAGACTTGGCTAATTTGTAAGGACCTGACATCCCGAGAGCATTCTTGATGGTGTTATTTTTTACAATGAGATGTTTCTTTCTTTCCGCCACGTTATCAAACATCTCTTTTTCCTTCAGTTTGATTACTCTAATCCCTGTGCCAAGTTGTGTAGTTAACATAATACTGCACACTTCCGAGGACCTCCGTGTAACTGCGTCGCACACTGTGAGCATTATTTATCATGAACCCTGTATACACCTGTTCACGGCTGTTTGCCTATGAAGAAGAAGAAGAAGAATATAAAAATATTAATCCTTGCATTTGATATAGTGCTTTTCACGTCTTCTCGACGGCTCAAAGCGCTTCACAGAATAGTCTGTAAAGTGAATTGACCGTATATTTGTGGGAGAAACACAGCAGCCAATTGCGCATAGTAATGTCCCACAAACAGATTGAAAATGACCAATTTATTATTGTTTTTGTTTTATTGGAGGTATTATTATTAGGCGTACACCAGCTGTTGAACAAACACTGTCCCATTTAAACTTTATACATTTGAAACCAAATTTATTATCATTACTTCAATTTCACGCACGGTATGAACTGCTCGCTCCCACCAAAACAGTTTCATGCTGACACTAACGTGAACTTGACCATAATAATCAATAATTGGTGAGGTCCAGATCACTCATGATATTAATATATATATTAATATATATATGTTGTGGGTGAAAAAACTAAAATGATAAAATATCTAATTATATTTCATATTTATAAGATATAAAAAGTAATTACTAGTTTACTAGGGTGAAATGAATAGTTATCTAGTAATGCACAACAACAACAACAACTTGCATTTGCAAGTTGAAGAAGAAGAAGAAGAAGAAGAAGAAGAAGAAGAAGAAGAAGAAGAAGAAGAAGAAGAAGAAGAAGAAGAAGAAGAAGAAGAAGAAGAAGAAGAAGAAGAAGAAGAAGAAGAAGAAGAAGAAGAAGAAGAAGAAGAAGAAGAAGAAGAAGAAGAAGAAGAAGAAGAAGAAGAGATGGGGAAAGGAAGTTCTGCACTCACTTCACAACAAAACCAAATACATAGAGTGATACAGCACGGAAATTGAGTTGAACTACTCCGAGCTGGTGTTTATACTCCACACTCCACGCCTCCCATAACACTCTGTTCTCTTCTCCCTCTGGCAGTGAGTTCCACATTCTCGCCACCTTCCGGGTGAAGAAGTTCATCCTAAACTATTTATTGGATCTACCACTGGCTGTCTTATATTTATATTTGGACTCACCAACAAGCGGAAACAATCTATCAACGTCCACCTTATTGAATCCTTTCATAATGTTAAGTACAGGAGAACCATGTGCTTCATTGTAACATGGGTTCACTTATTGGAGTGTGGTGCACAACTTTTACTTCCCCAAAAATTGAAGGTGCGTACCAAAGGCTGGCTGGCTCGCTTCAAAACACCAGCAGTTTATTTGCATGCTAAGCAATGGCCACCGTCCAGGTCACTAAGTCACCGGGTCAACACTGATTTCATGTCCTCCAGCAGGAAGTCGACCATCTCGGATGCCCGGTGCTAGAAGCCAGACAACATTTTGAAGCAATCCATCTCTCTGCAGATATGTACAGCAAATGCAGAAGTGCTGACCAGCAAGTGCGCCCCATTATAACGCTGATTGGGATTTTATATATTTATAGGCGTTGGCTACCTCTGCACCCCCCACACAACCATTTTATAATGGGGTCCCACATGTAAATTTGGCCCAAGTTGTGGAGCTAAACAGAAAATATCTCTGAGGGAAAATACCTCTGCTGCTGGTCTGGAAAAATATAACTGATAATTTTGGAGCTAAACACTAGGGCAGTTGTCAGTGCATGTGTTGATATTACAAACACCTCAGTAAGATACTGCAGCAAACTATATTTAACTCATTATAATTATCATATTTTTATGAAAATGCATGAAAGACCTAGGAGTGTTAGTTGACTCATCGCTCTGTCCCCCCACCCCAACCCCCTCCTGGAATGAAATTCCACCTGCCCTAGCCTAAAAGGCCGTTTTCTCTTCAAGTTTAAGATCTATAATAACGATCCTCACATTTGACATGGCGCCTTATCACATCGTTGAAATGTCTCAAAGCGTTTTACAGAATATATTGTAAAGTGGATTGACTGTGTATTTTGTGGGTGAAATACTAACAGAATTGTGGAAAACCATTGAACCTCTCGGTCTCAGTTTGGAAGCCACTTTTCCTGCAGTTCTTAAAAGGTAACAGGCTTCCAATTTAAGAATGGATTTTCCACAATTCTGCACAATCGTAAATTTGAGACTGTAGATGGTGTCCAAATCAAACCACATCTGACGTCCCCAAAGACTGCAAGCTCAACAAGTTCTTTTAATCTCCCTCATTTCTCCACTCCGTCCACTCCACACCCCAAAAATAGCAGCATGATGTTATAAAGTGAATGTCAGTGCCATTTATTTATTTGCAGAAGTGGGCCATTGATCTATTGCCCGAAACATACACTGCTAACCTATGATCTAAAATGCGGTATTTCTTAAAAGGATTCTTTACTAAGAAATCATTTTGGAAATTCTGCTGCCGCGTACGAACGAACAACAACAATTTGCATTTATATTGCTCCCTTCAAGGGGTCTAGCATCTCAGAGCGCTGAACAGTAAGTACACATGGATTAAAGGAGACAAATTGGGTATTGACAGATCTTGCTTAGCCCCAAGGTTAATGGGAATTTTGGGTGATTAACGTGAAATCCAAGCGCATTGGAAAGATAAGTACAAATGGAAAGAAAAAGAGGGGAGCCAGCTGCAGTGAAACAGTGGTCTATAAAACGCACGGATCGCCCCTGTAGCCTTATTCCCCTTATTCCAATGTGTTCCTTGTACTTCTTTTTAAAAAATTATGAGCAAAATAAATCTCTACTCACCACTGTCACAAGGTCCTACTGGCCTAGAGCTTGTCCGTTTTGACCTCTCTGCTGATTTCAGCCCCCTCATCACCCCCTTCCCCTCCCCCTCCCTCCCCACAAAAATAAAGGTAATTTCACAGAGTACTGCAGAATGTTCCTGGGAGTGCCAGCATCTAGCGTCTAACTGTGCTGCTGTCAATCTCTGCCAATGGCTGCTTTGATCAGGCCCATTCGTTGATGCATCTGGACAGAGCCTCACACAGAGGAGCTTAGAGAAAAAGTTGGAACAGAGCCTGGCACTGACTGAAAGTGATTTTTCATTCATTTATTATTTACATTTCTCCAGGACTCAAGAAAAAAACCTACCAGTTCTGAGGGAGGTCAATAGCATCTGATCTGTACAACAACGATGTCCGATTGAAGCAATGGGGTGTATACAGATAGGATACACATCAGGGAGCGATGAATTATAAAAAAAATAAACCATCCACTGATGTTTTGCTGCTTGATTTATTTTGTGCACAGTACATGTATCCTAAAAATATTTCCCACTTTGAACAAACTCCAGGATTGCACAGAATCCACGTCGACCACCCAAATTCAAAGTGTCTCAAAATAGGATGTCTAGAATGGAAACTGCATTATTATGGCTTTACTGTTGGTATCAGGGAGAACGATGCATTGGGTTAAATGGAGACAAATGCTATGAAAGCACTTTGAGATGCTCGTTCTACTTGAAAGGAATTGCCTCATTTCAAGTTGTTGTGGTGCTAGAACAGCTTGGCTAGAATACAATACAATTTTCAATTTGGGTTTCTATCGTGTGTTTCACGTCAGGAAGACGTCTCAAAGCACTTGACCTGCTGGGCTGGGTTGAGATGAGCTGGTAGATCTGTGAAGTGTGTGACTACGAGGAAGTTCTTGTGGAAGTCAATTTGGTCAGTTGTGAGAGTAACAAGATGTCACACGGTCAACAATGAAAACTGCCCTGCCTCCTCAGAGTTTATTTATGACAAATTATGTGGAAATTGCTATAGTGTTTCTTTTGATTCTGGAAAGCAACAAGTATGTGTGAGTTTATTTGGTCTAAGTTAAAAAAAATGATTCTCAGTAAACCAGGGTTTAGAGACTTTATTGCACTCTATACAGGACACATGTTAACTTGTCAAACACATCCTTAAGTTCCTAGGTTTATTGGTCACTTATGAGAGGTGAACAAAGTCCAGAACAATTACCAACTCTGCTTGTAAAGTCAAATGAGTCCTCATTGACAGTATGTATATAGAATGGGCTGTCCCCATGTTAAGTGCATGTTGACAAGGATGGTCATTCTGCTGATCTGTCAAATTTCACCGTCACCTTTGCTGCCGATCACTTATACAAAGTTAATGTCATTGTAGGCATTCCTGAATCAAAGTAAAAGACACCAAAATAAAATAAGATAAAGCCTGACTCACTCATGCTTCTGGGTCAGAAGGTTGTGGGTTCAAGTCCCACGTCAGAGACTTTGAACTCACCTTCATTCTAGTATGGCGCTTCATTGCAGTGCTGGAGGAAGCACTACATTGTTGGAGGTGCTGTTTGGGATAAATGTCCCATGTGCCTGTTCAGGTGGATGTTAAAGATTTCATAACACTATATGAAAAGAGAAGGGAATTTTTCCTGGTGTCCTGACCAGCAATCCTCCAGAAAACTGTAAATTCATCCTTCAGCTCATGACTGTTTGTGGGACGATGTTGGGCATGAAACGTCTGCCATGTTTGCCTAGAAAAACAGTCACTACACTTGACTGCAATCACTGTAAAGCACTTTGAGGCATTTGGATAAGAAGCTATAAAAAGTTAGTTCTTAGCTCCAGCCGGTCAGGTAAGCGAGTGCCTTCCGTTCATTCAGACTGAATGTAAAAAATCTTTGAGCGTGCAGTTCCCACATGCACCAGTCAGCACATCTAAACCACTATGTGGCCTGTATCCAAGCCGTCTATTGTTGGGTATCTTGAAAGGAATACCAGGCATTAGTTGGCTACGTGACAGGGTCAATTCAAATGGTCTGAAGCAGGAAACTGCTACCTTGGACTGGCAACCCATCTAACAATCAAGAGGTTCCAGACTTCACTTGGGCTCAGGCCAAGCAAATCATATCTCACGCCGTAGAATGCCACTTCCATCTTAGTGCTGGCACTGGTCCCCAGGCCTTGGTTTGATGAAAGATATGTTGATCCACTGAGTGAAAAATCACGCAGTTACACAAATATACAGACTGATTAACTTGCAAAGTAACATTTCTCTCTCTCTCTCTCTCTCTCTGAAGGCAAAGCAATCATTGTCCGAGATCTTTCAAAAAATCTTACCGTGTGCTCCAACAAGAGTGAGATGAACATCAATCAGATGTAAACAAGAGAGAGAGCTACTTATTAATCTTCAGACATCCTGACAGACTGTCTGTCTGACATCAAGTCCTGGATGAGAGCCAACTTTCTACAGCTGAATGTCAGCAAGACTGAGGCCCTCCTGATTGGCTCATGTCAGCGTCTCAGTACCTCAGGCACTGGCAGCATCAGCATCCACAGTTGCACACTCCACATCATCAAGACAGTCAGGAACCTGGATGTCTTGCTCGACCCTCAACTGTCCTTTCTCCCACATATCCACACCATGACCCACTCTGCCTTCCCCCACCTCCGCAACATTGCCCGACACCACCACTTCCTCACCCCTCAGGCCGCCGAAACCCTCATACACGCATTCGTCAGCTGAAGGCTTGACAACGGAAACTTCCTCCTTGTTGGCTTCCCCAGCTCTTCCCTCCACAAGCTGCAGATCATTCAGAACTCTGCAGCTCGTGTCTTCCCCCACCAGGCTCCGTGACCCCATCTCCCCCACTCTCGCCCAGCACCACTGGGTCCCCGTCCCTCAGAGGATAGAATTCAAAATCTTTGTCCTCACTTTCAAGGCCCTCCACGGACTTGCCCTCTCCTAGATTTCTGACCTGCTGACCCCCTATCAACCCCTATTAATGTCAGGCATCCTAATGCGCAACAACCAGAAATGGTACCACAACAACAACACAGTGTGGAGTCTGACACCACCACATTCTACCCTTGGATATGAAAATGACTGGACAAAGCTGTGGCAAATGGAGTTCAGTGTAGGGAAATGGACCAAAAAAAGATAAAGCAGAATATTTTCTTAATGGGGAGAAATTAAGAACTGGGGAGGAGCAAAGAGATTTGGGTGTCCATATCCACAAATCACTAAAAACTAGTTCTCAGGTGCAAAAAGTAATCAAAAAGGCGAATGGAATGTGGGCCTTTATCTCGAGGGGTCTGGAATGCAAAGGGGAAGAAATGATGCTTCAGCTTTATAGAGCATTAGTCAGACCCCATCTGGAGTACTGCCTTCAGTTTTGGGCACCACACCTCAGGAAAGATATATTGGCCCTAGGAGGGGGTGCAGCGCAGGTTCACCAGAATGTTACCAGGCCTTAAAGAGTTAAGTCAGGAGGAAAGGCTGTGTAAACTTGGATTGTGTTCCCTTGAGTGTAGAAGGTAGAGGAGTGATTTGATTGAGGTATTTAAAATGATAACGGGATTCAGTAGGGTAGATACAGAGAAGCTATTTCCTCTGGTGGGGCACTCCAAAACAAGAGGCCATAGTCTTAAAATTAGAACCAGGCCATTTAAGAGTGAAATCAGAAAGCATTTTATCACTCAAAGGGTGGTAGAAATCTAGAATTCTCTCCCCCAAAAGGCCATGGATGCTGGATCCATCCACACCTTCAAGAGTGAGGTTGATAGATTTTTGGTAGGTCACAGTATTAAGGGATATGGGGAGAAAGCCTGGAGTCCTGTAGCTCAGTGGTTAGAGCACTCACCTCGCAAGCGAGAGACCTGGATTCGCTTCCCGGCAGGACGAAACCTTGGCAAAGTTTCCTTACTCCACACGCCTGATAATAATCCCTCAAGAAAAAAAAATAATAAATTGGTCACTTCAATCCACGACTGTTTGTGGGACACTGCTGTGAGCAATTGGCTGCCGCGTTTCTCCCACAAAAAAAATGCAGTCAATTCACTTTACAGTATCTTCTGTGAAGCATTTTGAGACGTGAAAAGCACTATATCAAATGCAAGGATTATTATTATTATTATAAAGTGGGAAATTGGAATTGAAAGGATTAGTTGAGGTACAGATCAGCCATGATCTAATAAAACAGCGGAACAGGTTCGAAGGACGGAATGGCCTACTCCTGTTCCTATGAAGACTACGAGGTCTTCAGTGTCCATTCTGATAATATTGGGTTGGTTATCTTTACAGCATTAGAGCGTTTGTGCATGAGAGCATTGTATGATATGTCAGCCTAGTTCAGTTGGTAGCACTCTCACCTCCGAGTTGCAAAGTTGTGGGTTCAAGACCCACATTGGAACTGGAACTCACATAGTCTAGGCTGGCATTCCAATGCAGTGCTGGGGTGCTGTATTGTCGAAAGCGTCTTCCTTTGGATGAGGCGTTAAACCGAGATCCTGTCTGCCTGTTCAGGTGACACTAATCGAAAAGAGAAGGGAGTTTCTCCCAGTGTTCCAGTCAACAATTCCCCAGATAAAATTGGTGACTCATCCCATTGCTGTTTGTGGGACACTGCTGTGAAAAAATTGGCTGCCGCATTCACTTACAATACACAGTCACTGTAATCCAGTCAAACACTTTAAACGGCCTCCCGATATGAAAGGCAATATACCAAATGCAAGGATTATTATTATTATATGCCGCAGTTCACAAAATCAAAATGGTAAAACTGCATAGCTTACTATTGATAGCGCTGCCTGGCAAACTTCCCTCTGCTTGTCCAGCTAGGAGCCAGCTCAACTCCAAGGAGGAGAGGGGAGCGAGAACTTATCCTTTGAATGAGACATTAAACCTGAGCTAACATTAAGGATCCCGTGACTCTATTTGAAAGATACTGGAGGGAGGAAAGTGACCTGGCCAGCAATCCTGCAGATAAATTAGACATTCACTTCATGGCTTTTTGTGGGACTTTGCTGGCATTAATGGCTGCTGAATTTGCCTACAAACAAAACAGTCCTAACACCTGTCAGTGA